ACACACACACACACACACACACACACACACACACACACACACACACAGGTCAGAGTCATTGTACGGTTTCCTCCTATTGAGGGACAAAAAGCTACTGTTGGCCACCAGAGGAACCACAACGAGCAGAGAGGGACAAAAGAGAGGAAATGAGGAAATGAACCGGACGGGAGAGGAAAAGGACAAGGAAGGAAACGAGGAAGGAGTGGGAATGAAGGAGATGGGAGAGGAAGAAAGGAAGGAGAAAGGGAAGAGGAGAGGAGGGACGTGAACTCTAATGTGCTGCTCTAAAAGCCTCCTCTCTTCTGCTTTCAGTCCTTCTCCAGATGTTTAACGCGGCCGCAGGGTTGAGCTCCCACTCAGCCAGAAGAGCTTCAGTGACACTCGCGGGGTGATCAGGTCGGGCTCTTACAGTTCAGATTCAAGGCATATTTCCAAAATGGGAAAAATATTTCCTAATGGGGCTGTCATGTTGAGAGAGGAAAGAACGATGGGGAGAAGAAAATGAAGAACTTACCAAAGCAGAACTCTGCCTTTGGTCTGAGTTTGGTGGCATCGCTGACCTGAACGACAGAGAGCAGAGCAAAGCTTTAACGTCCCAGAGACACATGAACTCGCCATCCACTCAGTCAATTAGTCAGTTCAAGTTTTATACACTGATGTCTTTTTAATTTGGTTAAAATGTGTGACGCTCTGCTGCATCCACAGCTGCTAACAGGCCGAAGAAGACAGAATGCTAATACCGGTATGCTAACCAGATCAATGACACCAACATGGCAATGCTAACTGATGCTAACTCTCTACTGTTACTATCTTAGTTCAGCATCTTAGCACGCTAACATTGGCTAATTAGCGCCAAGTACAACTGAACTCATTAGGTTTGGTCAAAGATATGGACACACTGTAGTGTGTGTGTGTGTGTGTATATAGGTGAGTGAGTGTGTGTGTGTGAGGACTGACCTTGGAGATGTAGGTGAGTTGGAGAGATCCCACCTTCTCTGCACCTTTAGGCAGATTCTGTAAAAAGACACAAAAGTTGAAAACCAGTCGTATTACTGTGAAACAAGGATTAAGTAAAGTCACTAATCTCCTAAAAAAGGCCTGTAAAGACTAAGGGATGAGTTATATCAATATATCATATATATTTGACAACAGAATAAAGTTCTGTTCATAACAATATGTTCATATTTATTCCTGCATCACAGTTTTGGTTAAAAGAGAAAAATGAGCATTTCCTGACAGTTTAAATCCCAAAATCTGGAGATCAAACATGATTTAAAATAATATCCATAACTGCTGCATATACCAGTTATCAGCTGCTGTGTTTGAGGAATTCCCCGGCTGTGGGGAACATAAATACTACGACTGCTAACCTTTTATTTTCTGTTCTGGTTCCTGTTTGCCTGCTTGGTTTTGACCCGTCCCCCTCAAGTGAAAGTGTTTAAACAGCTTCAACCAGACGCTCTAACATCTGTGTTCAGTGAAGTTCTTCTGTCCCATAAACCCACAACTTCCTGTTTAGACCTCATTGATCCCGTAGTTTATACACCCTCACCTTCCTGCTCACGTACCTTCTGCCTCACCAACTCTACTTTGCTTTATTATATTGACTCACTTTAAATAAAATGGACTTTCATTAGTTTACAGAAGTAAAGACTGTGGTTTAGTTTGAGTCACCATTAACTACTACTACTAGATAAATGTGATGTTTATCTCCCTGAAGCAGGTTTCAAGTCCCTGCACGTTGATGTTCATTGTGAGCGGATGTTGGCAATAGTTGCCTGAAGGGAAAGAAATCGTTCCATCACTGAACTGATGCTACGCGTTAAACACGTCTTTAAAATGAAGTTAGTTGATTAAACTACCGTAGTTAGAATCAGGGATCGGTGTGAGGAGCATTTAAAGACGCAGTAGTGTGCTCACTGCTCAGATGTTTTCCGTGCTGACTAATCAAACAGGAATCTCTCCAGGTGTGAGAGACGTCCCGGGACCTGCTGCACACCTCCCCCCCTCTCACCTGTGGGAGGTGTGAGAGACGTCCCGGGACCTGCTGCACACCTCCCCCCCTCTCACCTGTGGGTTGTCCATGAACCACAGCAGGCTGCCCTGCTGGGTGTCCAGGATGAAGTATCGGCGCAGGAACCTGCCGCTGCTCTCATTCTCCTCGATGTCCAGGAAGCCACAGATGCGATTCTGTCGGTCCACATAAGGCATCGCGACCCGGACCAGCTCAGCCCACCCTGGGGCATCACAGGAACGCTGAGGAGGCGGGACGGGGCGACACTTTAGATTAGAACTCGCAGCTTGTAAGACGCCGCAGGGTAAAGGCGGGGGGGGGGGGGGGACTTCAGAGCTGCAGTGAGGTTGCAGGTTTTTGTAACAAAAATGACATTAATGTGCAGAAAAGATTATCATAGTGACACATTTTGCTGTGGTGGCTCTGTGACAGCACAGTGGACGTGAACTAAGAAAGAGTTGGAGGTTAAAGACCAGAACTCAGCTTTAAACGTGTTAACACCCTCCAGAGAATTGGATGCAGATTTGAATGAAGCCTCGTGCGTGATAACACAGTCCAGACGCATCCCGATACACAACGTACAGAACTCCTGTGTCCTCACACGGATCATAAACTAGCGCCGTCTATTCAAGCTCTCTTTTTTTTTTATTGCACGAGAGGAATTTCAAAATGCAACCTGAAGAAAAGTTCACAGTGTAGAGCAGGAAGTGTTCATGAGCCTCGACTGTGTGTGTTGAGACTGAGCTGGACAAGGACAGTGCTCGTTAAAGCATGCAGGGATTAAGAGAGCACACACACACACACACACACACACACACACACACCTCTTTTAAAGGTACCAACCACAAAGTGTCTGCAGCACCGAGTACTTTACTGAAGGCTGGCATTAAGTGCTCACATTTGAACTTATTAATCAGGTAATAAATCTAATTATCATAATTTGGATTGGGCTGCACCGTAGATCCATCACAAGCCTAAAGCGGGTTCATCATGACGTGCGGACTGTCCTTAAGAAGGTTGATAGAACAGCCCTGCAACTGATTTGCGTTCCAAATCACATTTCTTCGTATGTTTCGTCCATACTGTAGCTGCCCTTACAAAGTACGCACTGTTGCATGCAGTCTGCATTGAAGAGGGACAAACTACTTCCTCATAACATTGCACATTGAACCAGTTCATATACGTGCTGTGCAGAGGATTTGTGGGTAAGAAAAGCTAGAAAAGCACGCTGGCTTACATTCTGCAAAACTGTGAGCGGATTCAATAAGACAGCCGGGTCTGATTGGGACATACTGACACCCTAAATAGTGTGGTAGTGTGAGTACTAGTACTAGTACTAGTATTAGTACTAGTACTAGCTCACAGTAGCATGGAGCGCCACACGTCTAAGTCATGACAACAATAGAAGATAACAATGGAGATCTGTTGTAAAGAGCCATTGTTGTGACTTCTGCATATGTTTCCCCTCGCTGGCGGTTTACACACACACACTTTTTTTTTTGCTGCCTTAGAAACCCAGAATGTGAATATGTGTCATCGTAGAATGAAAACTAATTTTGAGCTTCAGTTTTCCAAATTGCACAACATCCAGGAGCTCAAGGAGACTCTATTGGAGAACAAACCTTCTCTGATCATCTGCATTCACTTACAGGACAAACAGTCATTTATTATAGAAAAACATATATATGACAGTAAGGCTGCTACTCACTATTATCTCCATTAACCGACCGGGTGTTTGTGATTAATTGATTACCACATTAATTGCATATTCGTTTTCTTTCAATCAACTAATCGATGAATAATTTCGGCTTCATATGGGAGACGCACCTTAGTCTTTAACTATAATTATATTATCAATCACAGACACTACCAACCTCTACGGAAATATGAGATATAAAAATATATTATAGGAATATTAATGTGTTTCTTTACACGAGACAAGACACAAAGCTATTCTCCTTTCCTGCACATTGACCACACTGATCTACATTTAATTGTGTGTAATGAAACAGCTGTTTAAATATCATCAACTCAAACAGCCGCACGTGTGTAAATAAGTCCATTTAACGGTCATCAGAGCGCATTTGTTCCCTGTGCAGATCAAACTGTTACAGGCCTTCCTAACAACACATCGACTGATTTCCTCTCCCGCCTCCATTACCCGCCTGCTCCACACTCCGGACTTTACATTATTCATATTTTCTGGGCGGATGAGCGCGCGTGTGTGTGTGTGTGTGTGTGTGTGTGTGTGTGTGTGTGTGTAACGCGGACGGGCCGTGTGGGCCGCAGAATCTGGCGTGTTTGTGGGTTTACTTACACGGTTCTGCTCAGTCCGAGTCCAGTGTGGCAGCTGTCCACGGTACGAGCGTAAAGTTACACCTAGTAACCACCACAGAGCAAACAGCTTCCGGTTTCACCTTAAACAAATAAAAGCACTTTCTCAGATATGATCCTCTTCCATGTGGACTTCAAAATAAAATACCTTACCGCCAAAGGGCTGTACGCATGACGTCATGTCTAAATGTGAATACAAAATGAAATGTGGAAAGTAACTAAGTACATTTACTCAAGTAGGTACTGTACACATATAAGGTACTTATATTTGCAGTTTAATGCTACTTTTAGCCTGCAAATATATTCCTTTTTACTCCGCTACATACATTTGACAGCTTCAGTTACTAGTTTGCAGATTTAGATCTTTAATACAAAATGTAAATTTATTAATAAAGTGTTATTAAATGTCACGCTACACAGGAGTTTAAAGTATTTAGAATTATCTTTACCTTTACCAGCTGAGTTGATGAACACATTGATTCATCAATAGTCATAATCCAGAAATTCTTAAATGGGATATTTTGCATACTTTTACTTTTGGCACTTAAATATATTTTGATGCTATTACCAGACTTTTACTTAATTGTGACATGTCATGTTCATTTTCAGTTTCATACTATCTATCCATCCATCCATCCATCTATCTATCTATCTATCTATCAATCGTTTATGCTTTTATTTTGAAGGCAGGCTATGAGTCCTCACAGACTTCTTGCTGAAACCTTGATGCAGATTTCCAACCAATCCGCTGTCAGAGTTAAACCGTATTCCTCTCACTGTCTTTGCAAGGCATGATGGTAAATGCAGTCTCATGAAAACAATATCCGAGTGCTCTAACGATGCTTCATGTGTGTGTGTGTGTGTGTGTGTGTGTGTGTGTGTGTGTGTGTTGTTTCTGACTGAGTGAGCCACATTTCATTTCAATGAAAAGGCATTTCTGTGTATAGATAGAAAGTCTTTGTTAAGGAGAACAGTGCAGAATGAACAGGTGGACTGACAGACAGACAATAAAGAAATAAAAAGTCAAAGGTCACTTTCCCTTAAAGGAGGTAGGACAACAGGAAGGAGGGGTAAGAGACAATAAAACAGAGAATACATTACACAATATGAAAACAGATGACAAACGGAGATTAGAGGAGAAGATGAGAGACAAAACAAGATGGCAAAGGAAGAGATGAATGACAACAGACAGCGATTATGTGTAAACTCTGACATCTAGTGGTGACAGGCGGGAATCACAGCATAGTACTAACTGCAAAGGCAGTGATCAAAATCTCACCAGAGAGCCCACAACACTCTCAATCCAGCTCCCAAAGAAGATGAAGTCGCATGCAAAGGGACATGCCAGGTCTGTTAAATGGTGTTTATGAGAACAACAGTTGTCCAACATTGTTACTGTGTCCTAACAGACTTAACAGACTGCAGTACAGCGGTTCAGGGGATGATTGCACGATCAAAAATCTGCTGCTACAACAACCAATGATCTAACGCTAAACTTCAGCCCTCAGTTTTTAGGTCTCCCTACATCCTCTCCAGAATCATGGACTGATTATGAGACAACTGGCCCCGTGGAACAGACATGCAAAAGGCCCCACAACCTGTCCTGCATCTCAGCTCAAGACTTTTAGTTGTTAAGCCTCTTTTTGTTCATGTTTTGTGTCTCTTTATAGTCATTGGGCATTTCATTGTGGTTGTTTTGTGTTTCTTTGTTGTCATCTTTGCCTCTTTCTGGTCATTTTGTGTCTTTTTGTAGTTAGTTTGGGCCTCTTTGTAGTTTTTAAGTGTCTCTTTGTAGTTGTTTAGTTTCTCCTTTTGGTCATTTTTTGACTCTTTGTAGGTGCTTTGTGTCGCATTGTAGTCATTCTGGGTCACGTTGTAGTTACTTTTTGCCTCTTTGTAGTTGTTTAGTGTCTCTTATTGTGTGTCTTTGTAGTCACCTTGTGTCTCTTTTTAGTCATTTTGTGTATCTTTGTAGTTGTTTTATGTTTAGGTCATTTTGAGTCTCTTCCTGGTTGGTAGTGTCTCTTTGAGTTGTCAACATGTTGTAGGTGAAGGCCAGGTTGCCCCCAGTAGATCTATCAAGAGTCTTTCTACAGAGCCATCAAAGTCCTGAAAGAGCTCCTTTTTGTGTGCACACAAGCTGATGAATGATTATCTTTTGGGATGGGATTTGAGGGCTCTACAGAAGACAAAGGGAGCCGCTAAGAACCAGAGGCCCCTCTCCTCTCTGAACCATCAAAAGTGATTTTACCGGGGTGGTAAGTCATTTGGCTTCCTTCCTCTCTGTCTTTGCCAGAGTTGATCCTACAGATGCTATCTGGTTGCTGTCAAAGGCCTAATTGTTTTTGAAGAAGGCGCTGCCAGTCCCGATGCCAGCCCCTGTGGCAGTCTATTCTTCAGAGCTGTGTGATGCCTGAACACTCCAGGTGCCGCCGCAAAGCTCTGCCAGGTTCTCGACAACCAACGCCTGCTCAGAACACTGAACCCCTCATGGTACAGTCACACCAGTCTCTTGGCTGGCAGCGAGGCTGCTGTTGGCACAGGGGCAGCAGCATGCCACGCAGGGATTTCAGCCAGGCTTAGCGCTCCACAGTAACTGGTGTTTGAGGTTTTGAAGAAGCGAGGCTCGATGCCAAGACGCCCTGTCTGCCCTGAAGAAACAGACAGCCGTAGCAGGGTGCATGTCAACAAGCACTGGGATCATTTCAGGTCCTGTGGTAAATGGCAAGGAGCGTCTCTCCATAAGAACAAGGAGACGGAGACACACTTGTCCACAAAAACAGTGTAAAGTTACAAATCTTACAATACAGATATTGTAATATTGGTCAATTTGAGGTTCAGTCATTTCTTTTATTTTCCTCCAGAGCCTCTTCTTTGTGAGGTGGAGATGACTTAAATATTTATGTTTAAGTTGAAACTATTCAAGTCGAACGGACGCATCACTTTGTTTTGAACCATTTAGAGTTAATTTGCTTGAATCCACCGCAAAGGCAGTGAGATGGTAGTTTGGGCGTCTTTAGCTTCAGTTATTAAACTCATCTCCAGTAAAATGGAATATTTGAGCAGGTATAACTTAATAATAACTATCACTAACAATAATAATTTAAGGCATAATATTAAAAGGTATTTTAAAAAATTGTTCAGACATTTGATTTGATCTCTTAAAATATTTTTAACATTTTACAAGAAGCGACACAAAAGAGAAACTAATAGTTTGTAACAGCAAATATGTTTTGTCATGTTTTGTTACCCAGATTACATTTTCTATCAGCGTAAGGAGGAAATGTTGTAGATTAAATCTAACGAGTCAAAAAATGTTGATACTGAACAGATCAATAAAACGTTTAGAGACGCTCTTCAGTTGTTTCCCACAATATCTGGCTAAACGTTGCACTTGTTTATATAACTGTCATTCAACCAAAAACTTATTTTTACCTAAACTGTCAGAAGAAGTAAAGTAGAACATGTGAGGGACAGTTGTGAACCTGCAATGAGCAGGATGTGGGAGGTGCTGTGATCCTTCAGAGTCCACCTATTGTGTGACTCACCTGAGACAGGAAATACAGCTTATTAAGCCTCCATACATACAAGAAACACAAAGACTATAACATTCGCCTTCAGACCAACATTAGACTCCCAGTGACAAGAGAGCTTCATGAGGGACTGCTGGGAGTACATCTGGAAGACTGCCACCAACACCAGCAGACGACTCCAGAAGCGGAATAAGGTTTGCTCAAAGTGAAAGTAACTTCACGGGACCTTTTCCAGAGAAAGGAGTGGCACCATCTCCTGTGGGCCTGCTGCGTTTCACTCTTCACTCTGACTAAAAATGGCTTCTGGGTCAGAGGAGGATTTCTGCTGTCCTGCCTGCCATGACATCTTTAAAGATCCTGTCCTCCTGTCGTGTAGCCACAGCTTCTGTAGAGCCTGTCTGCAGATCTGGTGGACGGGGAAACCATTCCAAGAGTGTCCAGTTTGCCGGACAGTATCTCTGTGCAGGGATCCGCCTCGTAACTTGGCATTAAGGAACCTGTGTGAGACCTTTTCCCTAAAAAGAGCCCCAGCAGTGTCCGTGACACTCTGCCCTCTGCACTCGGAGAAGTTCAAACTCTTCTGTCTGGACCATCAGCAGCCAGCGTGTGTCATCTGTCGAGATGCTAAAATCCATACTGACCACAAGTTCAGACCCATCGAGGAAGCAGCACAGGACCACAGAGAGGAGCTCCAGGAGGCCCTGAAACCCTTACAGGACAAGTTAAAGGGTTTCAACAAAGTTAAAATGAACTTCAATCGAACTGCACAACACATCAAGGTCCAGTATCGATGCACGGAGAGGCAGATTCAGGAACAGTTTAAGAAGCTTCACCAGTTTCTAGGAGAGGAAGAGGAGGCCAGGATGGCTGCACTGAGGGAGGAAGAGGAGCAGAAGAGTCAGATGATGAAGGAGAAGATGGAGGCTCTGAGCAGAGAGATAGCAGCTCTTTCACACACAGTCAGAGCCACAGAGGATGAGCTGAGAGCTGAAGACCTCTCATTCCTGAACAAGTACAAGGCTGCAGTGGAAAGAGTCCAGCAGCGCCCCCTGCTGGAGGATCCACAGCTGCTCTCAGGAGCTCTGATAGACCAGGCCAAACACCTGGGCAACCTGGCCTTCAACATCTGGAACAAGATGAAGGACATGGTCTCCTACACTCCTGTGATTCTGGATCCAAACACTGCTCATCCAGAGCTCACCCTCTCTGGAGATTTGACCAGCATGAGACACGAAAAGATCCAGCAGCTTCCCGAAAACCCAGAGAGGTTTGCGTACTGGGATTCTGTCCTGGGCTCAGGATTTAACTCAGGGACTCACAGCTGGGATGTTGAGGTCGGAGACAACAAAGACTGGGAGCTCGGGGTGTTAGCGGAGTCTGTTTGTAGGACAGGATTTGTGGGGTCTACAGTGTGGAGTGTAGACTTCAGTGATGTTGGCTACAGAGCCTTCTCCCCAACAAATAAATACACCGATCTCCAAGTCAGAGAGAAGCTCCAGAGGATCAGAGTTCATCTGGTCTGGGACAAAGGAAAGCTGTCATTTTCTGATCCTGACACTAACACACATATTCACACCTTCACACACACTTTCACTGAGAAACTGTGTCCATACCTTTGCACCAGGAACGCACTCCCTCTGAAAATAATGCCTGTGAAGGTCTCTGTAATAGTGCAAAGTTAGAGAGGTCAAGATGAAGTATATAATGTACATTTTTCTCTGCAGGTATTTAAATCGTAAGTTAATATTTTGACATTAGGATGCATATGAGCAATATGATAGGAAATTGTGTCTTTCTGGACTGTTTGTACAACGTTTAGAAAGAGCATTTATAAGTATGCAAACCTAGAAACCAAAATCTCTGAAAATTTGAAATAAAGTCATGTGTTTTATTACTGAATAACATCCCTGTCTCTCTTCTACTTGAGCTTACATTTTGTGTAGCCTACCTTATGTATTAAATCCGTTATTGACATTAATTGTTTTTTACAATGGTGGTTGAAGCCTGTGGCTCTAGTATAATGATGTTGCACATAGCAAAATAAAAAGGTTGGGACATTGTATTTTCAATAAATTTAGCACTAACACTGTAGGGAGCAGTTCATGATCTTATTTTTTATTATGTAAAAAAGCAGGTTACAGATTTTCTTCAGTGTTCTCCCAGCAAATAAAATAAAAAAACGCATAATTTTCACAGTAACACACAAAATAATGATGAATATCATAAACGACTTTGTTGAGTTTCATCTATACTTTCCATTTTGCTTCGTCAATGAGCTGCAGAATTTTTTTTTCCTAATTTACGGGCTTATCAAATAGAATTTACATTTTTACGAGATTGATGGTAGCACCTGAACGCAGCATTCGAAGTGCTAAGATTGTTGAAGTCGTTGGTGTGAAGCTCGAGACAGGATATATAACCAGTTCCGGTTATGATTTAAAAAATAAAACTTGACAAAAACATGGCAATCAACGTGACATTGAATAATATGTAGATGAAGGGGTCTCTGTCAAATCCACATTTTTCAAATGTAATTTTAAATATATATATA